ATAAAAAAAAATGCTCCAACACACCCCCTACCCCACCCTGTAAAAACATATCAGATCTGGGAATCTAATTTGGCTGGCCATACCAATTTTTGCCAAAGCAAGCAAGTTCTTTCATTTCCAATTCGCCATTTCCAGAATACCTAATTTACACAGCTGCTGTGAGAATTGAATGAAAAATAATCTCCAATACAGTGGGGCACAAAAAATTGAAAACTGGTAGAAGCTCTTTGATGAGATAATGACCAAATATCAATAGAATGCCTGTAGACTGAAAATGCATCAACATACCTTCAGATATTACACACAATAGCAATGGAAATATTTTCCAATTGTCTGATGACCTTACAAAACAGCAAATTAAACTTCCCAAGGAAAATATGCTCTGAATTTGCGTGGCACTTACTATATTTCAGGAAAAAAAAACACATCCGATTTCCATTATAAAAGAATTACAATTTAGCTTTGCCTTCTATTGGATTATGATTCGCCATAGGCTTTCAAACAGAACCTAACTAAATCTAATTATATACAGGCACCTCAACATTGTGAAAAATTATGTGCACTTATTTGCATTCACTACTGAAACTTGTTTTGCAAAACAAAGATTTTGCATAAAACGCATTTTCATCTTTTGAAAAAATTTTAAACTGGTTTTCGATAACCAGAATTGTGTTAACAGCAGCAGCTACCATCTACTGGGCCTTATACTGTGCCAAGCACTATTCCACGACTTTTGCTTACAGCAATTCTATGAGCTCATATTATTGCCCCTAGTTTACATTAAAAATAAAGTTTCCGGGCAGTCCTGAATTATCAGAGGTGTACAGGTGTTGTGTTTTTTTTTTTGTGTGTGTGTGTGTGTTTTTCCTACTAATGAAGTGAAAGGCAATTGATTCAACACTCTGCATCAACCAAGACAAAAACCAAAAATGTGAAGGACCCCCATCCAGGGCTTAGAAAGTCTAAGTCTATGGGGGAGTGAGGGGTGGGGTAGAGGAGGGTATAGCCAGCTTCCAGGAGAACAGCAGTCTCTACCCTGGGAGCCTGTTCAGCGGCCTGGTTGTCTGGAGCTCAAGATGGGGTTCACCACCTTCCTCAGATAAGACAAGAATCTCTAGACGGCCTATCTTGATGAGCCACCTCCTCCCTCCGAGGCCCGTCTTCGGAAGTCGAAGGTAGGCGGGGCTCCCCAGATTCACACCTGCCGTAGACCCTGGATCCTCCAGAGAGAACACCCAAATAAACCGGCACCACGCTCCGGGCCGCCGGCCCCGGCGGGGCCCGCCAGGCCTCGGGGCCACCTTCCCGGGCCTCTCCCCTTGACACTGGCCTGGTGTGGGCCGTCTCCCCCTCTCCCAGGAGACGGGGCCGGGGCCTGGGGCCGACCAAGCCGCAGCCTCCAGACGCCTTCGCGGCGCCATCTTGAGAAGGGAAGAGGGTGACACCCGTCGCTCCCTCCGCCAGACAGCAGATCCTGGTCCTCCAGAGCCTCCGGGGAAGGGCGAGTCCACGGGGCCGGCGGGACGAGACTCCGAGTTCGACTGCTCTCTGGTCCCGGGCGCCGGCGCGCGAGAGGTGGGAGGGGCGGGGGGCTCGGGGCCGGCCGGAACCCCCGACAAACCGGGGCAGCAGAGCGCCCGGGGTCCCGGCCCGGGGAGTGGGGAGGGACGGCCCGGTTACCTTAGGCCGCAGCTCGCAGGGCCGCGGGGCGGAAGCTCCAGGCAGCAGGTCCCAGGCGGAGCTCCCGGCGAGAAGGCAGTGGCTTCGGCGGCGAGGCGTCTCCTCCTCGCGCCGCTCCCCTCCTCAGACTGGACGGTGCGGGGCTGGCGCGGTGGTGCCGCCCCCGTCGGCCTCGGTCTCCGCCTCTCTCCGCTCCGCCTTCCTCTTTCCTTTCTCCTCCTCCTCCGTCTCCGCCGCCGCCGCCAACACCGCCGGCGCACGAGTTCCCACTAATTCTTCCTTCTCCTCCCCCTTCCTCCTCCGCCTCCTCCTCTCGGGCCGGCCGCGGGCTCCTCCGCGAACCAAAACACAAACACTCCAGCCCCGGCGCGGAAGCCACTTCCGCCGTCCGGCGCCGGCCTCGCCGCCACGTCGCCGCACGTAGCGAACGATGCCCTACGTCACTTCCTGTCGCCGCCAGTCCGTCGGCAGCCCGGGTCGCCGGGCGGGGGGGTGGGGGGGGTGGGCGTGTCACGTGGTCCCGGCAGCTCCAGCACCGCCCTCCCCGCAGGCGCGGGGCCCCGCCCTCGCTGGCGCCATTGTTATCTGGGCGGCGGTCTCGCTCCCCGCGCCCGGGGGCGGGGGCAACTCCGTGCCCGCCCTGCTTTAGGGGAGGTACGGAGGGAACTTGTATTTGTGGCTCTCAGGCCACGTGGGGCGGCGAATTCCCTCTGTGAATATTAACTCACAGTTCCCCCTTCCCCTACCCCGCAACACCCCAACTCTGGCACCCCGATTGTGGATCTTGTCTAACAGGAGAGAGACCCCCATTATATCCCTGGGGACGGGTTGGTCGGTGAAGGCAGTCAGTGGTAGACCTTTCTCTAGGAAGGAGGCTAAGACCTTCCCTAACTCTGAAGTTGTCTTAAAAAAAAAAAAAAAAAAAAAAAAAAAAATATATATATATATATATATATATATATATATATATATATATATATTGATTTCAAAGAGGGAGTGAGTGGGAGAGATAGGACCGTCAATGATGAGTCATTGATCTGCTGCCTCCTGCACACCCCCTACTGGGGATCGAGCCTGCAACCTGGGCATGTGCCCTGATGGGGAATCAAACCCATGACTTCTTGGTTCATAGATTTGATGCTCAACCACTGAGCCACACCAGCTGGGCTCCAAAGTTGTCTTTAAAGGGGGAGAGGGGACAACTAAAATAATCACTTGCTTTTATTTATTTATTTATTTTCATTTTTATTTCTTCACTTGCTTTTATTGTGAGTTTACTATTTTTATGGAGCACAGGACAACATCGAAAATAATAGCTAGTGTTTTTTTTCCCCCAGAGTTTTCCTTCATGGGTTACTGTACTAAACGTTTCATAGAAGTTACCTGAAGTTGTCCTCTCCAATGTCCGCTTAGCACAGGGCCTGGCAATCTGGTGTCTTTTGCAGTCTTGGTTGTGGAATGAATGAATGAATGAATGAGGCATACTGTTATAGAGGGAAAGAATTTGAGGCACAGAGATTGTGTAACTTGTCCAAAATCAACACGGATTAGGTGATGAAATGATATTCCAACCTGCAAGCCAGCCCCAGAACTGGATTTCTTAAGCACAAATTCTAGAGAAAGACAACCCAAAACATTCATTACCCTCCACTGCAGACCTGCATAAGATAGGCTGCTTTGGTTAAATCTCACACAGTAAGCCGTATCTGGCCAGGCATTTGAAGTAAAACAAACACATTTTGTTTTGTGATTTGGTAGATTGTTAAATTGATTTTTCACTCAGGATAATGGCTGCTTTTCAGTTTGCTGTGTGCCATTTATAGCTCTGTTGTGAGAGCATCAGTATTGATTGTCTAGGATGTGTACTTGGGATAAGATATCCTGTGGGTGCTCAGTCAACATTATGCAATGAAGATGATTTGAATCCTTGAACAGCCAGTCTTTTGGTTCACTCCCCAATTACTAACTAGAAGAATGTAATGTGTCACAGGTAAATGGTATCTGTGGCACTTTATCCCCAAGGGGTTGTGCTAATATCATGTTAGTCATGGACAATCCCAGGAAGGATTAGGAAATTGGATATGTCACATCCATTTTGGCATGTCAACAGTATGTCCGAAATCAAACCCATACCATCACCAACTTGCTTCTGCGTGGTGACAGGTATGAACAGCCTCCCAGTCACCAGACTTGGAAGGGCAGGATCATCTTCAGTTCTTCCTTCTTTCTCCCATGAACTATTGTTCTTTCTATCTCCAAAAACTCTTTAATCCCCCAAACGTGACCTAATCCCAACACCTCGGCTATGTAGCATTTATATAAACTGGAATTAATGCACACTCTTGCCTTTGCAATCTATTCTTTACTCTTCAGCCAGTCACACTAAAACAAAACACACACACACACACACACACACACACACACACACACGCACACGCACACGCACACACAAAAAAACACAAAAAACAAAAACCTGACAGAGTGTAAACCCAATTTAAAGAAAATCTCCAACTCAAAGACAAAGTTTCAGTTTGCCACAGTCTATTTAAAACACCAATATGCAGATTAAAAATCAACATGCATTCTTGTGTAACACATCTCAAACTTTAATATATTTACTTAAACTTCCATCATATCTTTACTTTAAATGTCATTCAAAGCCTAGTTACTAAAGTGTTAGTGTTCTCAAATACTTTAAGATATTTCTATACCACAGCTGTCAGATATAACTTAAGTGTAATCATTTAATAATAAAGTAGTTCTCTAGCGCTAAAAAACTAAATGCAGTGTGCATGCACTTGCATAAGATAGGACCTAAAATTAGTGATCACCAACAGAAAGAATGTTATTTATTCTCTGATCACCAGTAAAATGAATAGGTCTATGGCCAGGAAGAGGCCCATGGCTGATCCCATTCTGAAGAGACTGCATTGCGTGGGAAACCAGAGAAGTTGGTGAACATTTGCTCTAGTGTCCAAGAGCACATTCTTTAAGTTCTCTTGCCATCTAAATCCAGTAAAGAAGGGGGGCGAGGGAGGGAGAAAATAAGAGAGAAAGTAAGGAAGAGAGAGATGGGCAGATGGACAGGGATCCGTCAGGGAAAGAATTGCCTGCCTAGCCACACCCCGGTTTCCCAGGCAACGCGGTAAACAGAACTTGAGCTCCTTTTCCTCTGTGAACTCCATAGGTGTCAGGTGGTAGGGAGAAAGCAGTGGGGAGTGAAGATGTGCTCTTTCGTGAGAGTGGGGTCCCCCAAAGGGTCAGAGTCCCGGACGAAATTGGGAACTTCCTTTGAGACAGGTAGAGGTTACCCCTTAGAGATGAGTGCTTTTGGAGGCACTGGGGTGTCTGAGGGGACGTCTCCCCTGAGCATGGGAGTCGGATTAACCCACAAAGGAAAGGATGATTTAGAAGAGAGGAGGGTGCTCTGGAGAACAGTATCTCCCACAGAGTGTGGGCTCAGAGAAGGATTAGGAAAAGCAGATTCTTGGTGGAAGGAGAGACCCTTGGTTAGTGACAAATATGAGGAGAGGACGGCATCATCAGAAACAAAATGTCCATTGAATTTGAACAAAGGGCTTGAACTTAGATTAAAAAGACAGGATCTTTCGAGGACCCCCATGGAGAGGAGTAATTTAGGAGTCACCAGGGTCTCAACTTCACAGGAAACAAGACCTCCCCTGGGTATGTTGCCAGAAAACGAGTGTCTTCTGGCAAAAGGTTCTGGAAGGAGAACACGGGATCCCTTGGGTATGGTGTGTGGAAGCCCACAGGCTCTGGGGAGCAGGAGAGGCCCTGTGGCTGGTGCCCCTGAAGGGTTTGGGGCCTCGGTGGACAAACAGCAGGCTTTGGGTGTGGCACCTAGCCAGGAACTGGGAAAAGAGCCCTCCTGTGTGGTGGTGAAGCCCAGTGCAGAGATGACGTGTCCTGTGGAAGTGGACATTGGGCTGCCCCAACCAGAGGAGCCAGATGCAATGGGAAATACAGAGCCCCCAATAGGCTTGGTGATAGAACCCTCTGAGTGCCAGTTTGCCCAACAACCTGAAGAGGAAATGGAGGCTGAAAACTTTGAACCTAGAGTGGAACCTCCAGATTGCATCAGACCCATCTACACTGGGAAATTTTTTGATCGAATGCCGTGCTATCCAAGCGTAAGTCTTTTTTTTTTTCTTTTTCTTTTTTTTTTCTAGTATTTTCCCTGGGAACTAGGTATGGCCTTATCTTCATAGAGGTGATAAACTGACGATACTTGTTTGGGTTTGTGGAGTTAAACTGCCAACATTTCATTGGGATTCTGATATTCCTTGTCCCACTGGACTCTTTCCAGCTGTTACTTTGTCCAGTCTCCTGATTCTCTGCCTTTTTTTTTAGATGTCAGCTTTGTTTTTGTTTTTGTTTTTGTGCACACCAGTAGTTCCTCTTGATTTTTACTTTTCTCCTGTGACCTTTATTTCATTCCTTAGTCTGCATCTCTCAATCCTCTCACTGAGATACATGTTGTATTCTTTTTTAAAAGAAAAAAAAATATATATATATATTTATTGATTTCAGAGAGGAAGGGAGATGGGGAGAGAGAGAGACAGAAGCATCAATAATGAGAGAGAATCATTGATCGGCTGCCTCCTGCACGCCCCCACACTGGGGATCGAACCTGTTACCCACCTGGGCATGTGACCTTGGCCATATTCGAACCTGGGACCCTTCCTTCAGTCTTTAGGCCGGCGTTGTATACACTGAGCCAAACCAGTTAGGGACATTTTATATTCTAATATTCATGTTTCTTTTTCCATTTACATGCAACCCCCTTTTTTGGTCAACACCTTGTATTGCTTTTCATTTTTTCTTTGATGAGAGAGAGAGAGAAAGAGAAAGAGAGAAAGAGAGAGAGATACAGAGAGAGACACACAAAGAGAGAGAGAGAGAGAGACAGAAAGACACACACACACACACACACACACACACACACACAGATAGATTGTTCCCCTTATTTATGCATTTATTGATTGATTCTTGAATGTGCCCTGACCAGGGTTTGAACCTGAAACCTTGGCATAGGTTTGAACCTGAAACCAATTGAGCTTCCCAGCCAGCACCTTCTTTCGGATTTTTTTAGGTAAACAATCATATTGATGCATTTATCTTTTTTTCTTTAGTATATATGCCTCTCATTTATATTTTCTATATCATTGCATAAGGCTTTTTTCTTGACTTTAATGGGAATAATTCTAATGCTTCACTATTGAGTATTATTTTTGCTGAATATTTTGATATGTCAAGTTAAGGACACCTATATCTACTTTCAGTTTGCTAAGAATGTTTAAAAATCAGAAATAGACCTTGAACTATTTCCATTGGTTGAAATACATCTTTCCAGATTGAAATGTTTCATTTTCTAGCAGCGAACAATCTTCATATTTCTGGCCTAAGCCCTACTTGGTCGTGATATAGGAAGAAAGAAGGAAAGGTTTAAAGAAAGGCTAACCAATTGTAGTGCCTACAATAAAGAGACAGTATGTTAGGCCCTGTGGCTACAAAACTGAAAAATGATAAGGTGCCTACTTTCTAGGAACTTAGAGTTTAGAGCTACTCAAGACCAATAGACAAATGATTTTATAATATGATAAAAGTCATGTAAAATAAATGCCTTCTTTTTCTTTCCTGTTCTATACTAAGGATTTTTGAGAAATGGGTAGAAGCAAATGAGTCACCCAGTGAGTCTTGTGAGAACTTGCTAGTTATGTAAGCCCTGGTACTGAAAATTCTTATTTTGTATGAATTTGTAAAGATCCAATCTCTGCAGAATTCTGAGAAGTGGGTGATTGCATAATGGGTTCAGGGCCTTCTGGGCAGAAAGAAATTAATACTATCGCATCTTTTCCTGAGATATTCAGAATTAGGAATATCTATGGGTAAGACAAAGTGATCTTGGCCAATGCCCAGTGGGGAGATGGAACCATAATATTAAACCACACTGAGTTTAGAGAGTAGAAGGTGACATGATTATGGGTTATTGGCTCTTCAGCAACCAAGACTGGTTTTTTTATTTTTTATTTTTTATATTTTATTGATTTTTTACGGAGAGGACGGGAGAGAGAGAGAGAGCTAGAAACATCAATGAGAGAGAAACATGGACCAGCTGCCTCTTGCACACCCCCTACTGGGGATGTGCCCGCAACCAACCTACATGCCCCTGACCTGAATCAAACCTGGGACCTTTCAGTCCGCAGACCTACCCTCTATCACTGAGCCAAACCAGTTTCGGCAAGACTGGTTTTTATTAACCTTCCTAAGTTGACTTAAATCTTGAAAACCAACTGTGTAAGAATTAAAATAGGTCACTGAAAGCTGTAATGTTGGGGAATGGTGAGGACATAGTCATGTGAGATGACACTGGTATGGTTAGGAACTGAGCAAGGAAGTGGATGAGCAAGGAATAGGTCAGTGCAGTGGGAATTTGGTTACATCACTGAACAGATAAGTGAATATATTGAAGACAATAGGAGCCAGATTTCTCACTCATAGAGGAAAAAAAACCCTATAAATATGAAGATAGAAATAATTCTGTATTGGGTAGTAATTGGAGGTATTGGTGGAAAGTGATGCAATACCTATACTTATACCTATGTCTCTATATCCGTCTTTCTGTGTGTCCATATCAAAATCCATATCTATGTATTTACACACATTTAACTAAACAATATAGAATTGTTACAGATGCTAGTGTGTGGGGGCGTGTGTGTGTGTGTGTGTGTGTGTGTGTGTGTGTGTGTATACACACATTTCCTAATTCTATCTTCTCAGAGGACCTAAAATAATGTTTATCTAGTAATAATGAGCACACCAAAATACAGATCTTAATTTCTAAATATTGTTCTATTGAAATTGTTAAGATAAAAACATTCAAGTCTGTAAAGAACTTTTGTGAGTTTATTTGAGCCAAACTATGACAATTGCCAGGAAGCTAAATCTCTACAGATTGGGATAATGCTCCAGAGAAGGGTGGTTTTTCATCTATTTTTATACATTGCAATCAAGGAGGAGACATAGGTGGGTTACAAGAAATCCATTGATGGTAGACTAGAGAGGCAGGAGAAAGCAAATGGGGGGGGGGGAGTGTTTGAGAGTAGGTGAGAGAAACCTCTGGGATTGGATAAAGAGTAAAATGATAGACACATACTTTTACTTGGGTTGGTACAGAATAGTTAACAGTCAACAATTAACATGATAACAATAACAATGAAGAAATTTGTGGTATCTGTTCTGGCACCCAGGGCATTTGGTTGTGCCCTGAGGGGTCTGGTAAAAAGGGAAGTTACTCTGACATTTAGGTGATATGTTATTTGACTTTGTCAGGGAAGAAACAGGCCTAGGAGGTGACTACCCACCATAACTGCTTTTAGTTAAAGTTTAATTTCAGACCATCCTTTGTGGTTACTTTAGGTCTTTGAGTTTGCAAGACCACCATACAGGCCTTCCCTGAGGTTGTCAGATTAGCATGTGGCCCCTTTGGTCCATAAAAAGAATCAGGACTCTCTGGAGCAATGGCTGACTAGGGCCAGTGCAGTGTGATATGAACTTGAAAACACCTTTGAGAGCCAAAGAGAAAATTTTTTATAAAGGACAGTATTGGGACAACTGGTGATATTTGAATGGGGTTAATACAGAATTTCCTGATTTCTGAGGTTTTTAGTAGTTTTTTATTCTATTTATTTATTTATTTATTTAGATAATAAACCAGTCCAGCAGGTGATTCAGTGGTTGAGCATCAACCAGGAGGTCATGGTTTGATTCCTCGGTTGCAGGTTCAATCCCCAAAGGGGAAGCGTGCAGAAGGTAGCTGATCAATGATTCTCTCTCATCATTGATGCTTCTATCTCTCCTTCTCCCTCTTCTTTCCTCTGTGAAATCAGTACAAATATATTTAAAAACATAAATAAAGATAACAAGCCACAAGGAAAAAGAAAACAGAAGAGGAGACAACAGTTAAGAAATTTCAATAAATGTTAGAAAATAGGAAGATGGAGATATGGCAACTGATTTTCCAGAGTAAGAAAACACTGAAGTTTGAGGGGAATCAGGTGGTAATTTCCACCAGAAATGGTCCAATTTTCCTGGAACAATCTCTGAGAAGCTCAGCCTTTGGGAGAAGGTATAGTGAAGCTTGGATCTGACAATCAAAGGATTGAAAGTTCATATTCAGTGTAGTTCGGTTTCCAGGTCTCCTTTCCATCCTATGCTCCCTCAACTCCCTACCTCTCTGCACCGTCTTCCACTCCCTTCCTCCAAAACTGCGGATTTATTTTCCCAGAGTGGTTATTGGCCTCGAAGACACCAAGCCCCAAATAATACAGGGGGCAGCTCCAGGGTGAAAATGGGGCTTTAAAAGTAAAGTGTACTTCTTGTATTGCCGTTTCCTTAGCTTCCTCTCCCAAAGGCCTCTGGAGAGCCAGCAGCCAGGAGTAAAGCCAGCCCTTTCCCCCGTAGACAGTGCATACAGAGGCAGTAGAATATCCTGCTTCAGAGTAGATTTTGGAAGCCATCCTGCTTGAGTTCAGATATCAGCCAATATATTCTAAATACTACCATATTTAGGGGAGGAAAGAAGTCACATACCATGGGACAAAATTCAGGACTGCATCCAACTTTTCAACAGCAAAACCATCTTTTATTTTACTGTTATATTTGGAAATATGTTTTTATTGGTTTCAGAGAGAGGAAGGGAGAGGGAGAGAAAGATAGAAACGTTGATGAGAGAGAAACATTGATTGGCTGCTCCTGAATACCCTCTGCCGGGGACTGAGCCTGTGGCCTGGGCATATGCCCTGACCTGGAATTGAACAGGTGCATAGAACAATGCTGAACCACACCAGACAGGCAAAGGCCATCTCTTAAAGGACGTTGGCATAATGCCTTCAACATTCAGAAAGAAAATTGCATATTTGCTGCCTTGTATTCTATAATATACCAAGTCATACTATTAACCAATGTAAGAGTAGAATAATTTTCAAGGATGTAAGGAATCGTATTTGGCTTTTTATGCATTGTAATGGGTAAAGAATTTTCTTCAGGGAAATGGGGGAGTAAACCCAAAGGAGGAGTAGATGAGAGCATGAGCAATCTAACTGAAGAAAGGCGAAGAAAAATTCCCAGGCCAAGATCTCTGCACCAGACCTAAAGAGCACCCAGATGAGATCCAAGACATAACTGTCAGCTGCTTTGAAATGATAAAAGGGAAATAGATAAGCGGTGCATTGCCGGGAATGAACAGTTATAATCTTTGCCTTGGGCAAAGAAAGAAAGATAAAATCCAAATTTGAATCTAGTGAACCGTGGACTTTCACTGAAGGAGCTGGGCCCCTGGGTGTTATATACCAAAAGTTAGGGTGTTGGCGAAAATATACCCCCACACAAACACACCCATATGCTTGGAATTACCTAACATTTTATCTTGAGTTTAGCTTGAACATAGCCATGTTCCCATTGTACTGATATGAACTCTGACAAGATTATTACTGAACTGTTGATTCCTTTAGCTTTTCACAGAGCTCACGTGATTGGACTACAATGCTATCACTATATATATATATACTTAGAATTTAATGTTTATATTATATATTAAGATTGCTTTAGATTTGCAGTTTGTTCTTACTTTTTCCCTCAATTGTGTTAAGTAACCGAAAGTAACGTTTGTAGCATTAGAAGCATAGGTAAGTTTGAAATAAATTTCATTCTTCAGAATTTTATCCCCCAAGCCCTTCTTACCTTTCCTTACCCCTCACCCTCCATTTCCCCCACAATGATTAACTGTGAGGCTTTGTTGTTGTTGTTCTTAGGCAGGGAAAGTTATTCCAATTGGAAACAGAGTTGCAGCCTGCTTGACTGAAAAACTTCCAAGGGTGAGCATTTTCAATATGCATTTGTGTTTTTATTTTTTACCTTGAATGTGAGCATTAGAAGATAGACAACTATCAACATTCCTTGTGAAGATTGTTTAAAGTTAATGTATTGGATTTAATGTATTTTGGAGTCTATTGTATTTTGAGGGCTTCTGTAGATTTTATCCAAGGAAGTGAAAATTCTAGTTCTATGATTTCCAGCTTTATAAAAAGCCAAAGAAGGGATTCCATTTATTTCAAAAGGAAATATTTATGATATGCTTTCTAACCTGGGTACTTCTTAAATGTAACTTTTAAAATAAATTGTTTATTTCCATTAAAAAAAACAAATCTCAGGAAATTTTATTATTTGGAGCTGTAGGTCCCCATGTGCTTACTATATGCATGCAATGAAAGGGTTCATTGATTGGTATAGATCAGCAATTTTCAACCTTTTTCTTTTCATATCATGGTGAGACAGGCCAGTAAGCCAGGACAAGTGGAAATAGAGAAACTGAGACAAGAAAATTAAAGAAGGCCAAACAGTTTGGGCAGCTTGCAAGAAATTTTGATCTTCCCCAACCAAGGGCACTTGAGAGCAAATGCTTAATACCTCTCCTCCCTAATAAGATAATACATAGCTTAAGTCACCTTGGAACTGCTAAGGCAGGTGGTGGTGGGGCGGTAAGGGAGAAGGAGAAAAGAGATAGTTTTATCTCACTCACTGAACAAGGAAGTCAGCAGTCTTGGGATTTTTCAACATAAAATTACAAGATGTTCTCATAAATTCTGGGAAAGCCATGACAAAGTAATCTAGTCTGTGCCCATGATATCCAGCAGTGGAACCTTGAAATCTGTAGACCAAGAAGTATAAAATCCTAAACCTCCACCAAGCAGGACACTCATATTAGCTGGGCGCTCACTTGTGGTTTATGCCAAGTACGTTTTTAATAAATTTGCTTGCCTCGCTTGCTTAATAAATTTGCTTGCTTTGCTTCCTTAATACATTCAGTACTACAATACCACTGCCCACTGTCACTCGTTTGAAATCTTTCCTACGAGATTGATAAAAACTGAGGAGGGGACAGCCGTCTTCCTTGGACTCAGGGGGCTGTCCAATAACGGTTTTTCTGAGTCCAATAACAATGGCACACATAAACTAATAACTAAAATTCTGTGGCACACCAAACAAATATATTTTTGCCGACCTGAAAAAAAATAGGTCTAAGTTTGGTTCAGCCATACCAGATGGCTATTGTGTTGGCTGTTGTCATTAAAAAATTTTTTTTTAAAATTAAATTATTATCTGTGTACATATACCATTGCCTCCTCCCCCAATACATGCCCTCCCTCCCTAGAGTTTTGTGTCCATTGATTGTACTTATATGCTGTTGTCATTTTTTATTTGACAATCTAAGGGAAAAGAAATCAGTGTCTCTGACTAAATAGTCAGGTATTGCATGTCTCAAAAGTACTTGTAGCACACTGGTTGAAAACCTCTGATATAATTTAGTCCTAATATTTTAAAAACTGTACTTGATAATTTTATTTTTTTGTCTCACTATTTGTAGCCAATTACTCCACCCGAGGCAAAAAAATTTTACAACTTCAGATATCCACCTGCTGGAGCCGAAAGAGTATTTTATGGCAGAGCAAATGACCCTCAAATTGCACAGTATTTGACACATGGAATAAGATCTAAACTTTCACAACCGGTAACTTCTTTTTCTTTTTCCCCCTGTATATTACTACTGACTTAGCAAGATGAAAATTCACAAATGAGGTGTTAATGAAACCATCAGTTCCACTCTCCTTTCCACCCTACATTTTGAGCACTGAAAAAAAAAAAAAATCTGGTAACTTTCCTGTCTTTCCCCTTACTTTCTTCTTCCCCCTCCCAGGTGGAAAAATTAATGGTTAAAGTTACAAACTTGATATTCTTTCCTCAAATATATATATATATATATAAATTGATTTTGTACAGAGAGGAAGGGAGAGAGATAGAGAGTTAGAAACATCAATGAGAGAGAGTCATTGATCAGCTGCCTCTTGCACACCCCCTACTGGGGATATGCCTGCAACCAAGGTACATGCCCTTGACCGGAATCGAACCCGGGCCCCTTAATCCCCAAGCCGATGCTCTATCCACTGAGCCAAACCGGTTTCGGCTCTTTCCTCAAATATTAAAAGCCAAGTTGCACTCCATATTCTGACAGTAATAAGGAATGTTGTCAGGCTTTATAGGGAACAACAAAGGCTGGGTGATAATTGCCTAGAGGTACTACAAAGTGCTTAGATATTTGCCCATTCATTGAATGGACAATCTAGATTCAGAAAAAACATTTGTTGAATTCATGTGCTTCTTTTGTTTGGCATTCCCATTTTTTCTGGAATATTGGAGTCAAGTAACCTGGGAGCTCCTCTCATAAGTATTTTAACCTCACTGAAACCTTTTAACCCCTTTGAAAGTTCATGTTTAGGTATGTTTAAGCTTCATACAGTTCGCTTACAGTTCCTTTGAAAGTGAGCAAAGCAGTGATGAGGAATTGTTTTTCTACAATCATATTTCCTTTCTCTAGCTATTGATTTAGAGTGTCAGCTTTTAGACATTTGCTTCTTTTGTTCTTACCTCTGAGCTTTATATGATTTCTTTAGGCAGACGTATTGATAAACCCGCAGCCTATTACAACATTCCAACAGAAAATTAAAGATAAAAAGGAATCAATATATTTCAGTAATCAACGAGCACCATTAGGAAAATCTCATGATCAATCACCAGGATTACCTAAAGGCCTGGATGTACTCAATACGACATTTGGAACAAAAGTCATCAGAGGTAGTAAATAAAATAAGGGTTGGGAGGGGTAGCAAATAATTCTCAGAAAATGGGATTAAATATCCCATTGTTACCTTGTTTGGTGGTGGTGGTGGTACCAATGATGACTGAGGAATGAGAGATGGGATCATACCAACAAAGCTACTCTTAGTCCCAGAAACCTTAGAGTTTATGTATGCCAGGCAGTAAAAGTTCAGGTTTTGAAGTCGAGATTCGGTGAGCATAGTAGAGTTGATGTAAAGACAGGAAAGAGAGTCCTGGCTGGGTATCTCAGTTGGTTAGAGTGTCATCCCCATATGCTAAGGACCAAGGTTGCAAATTCCATCTGGTCAGGGTACATACAAGAAGCAGCCAATAAATAATTATATATATATAAAAAAAAGACAGGAAAGTTGGCATTGGGACCAGCAGTGTAGGCTGCAATCCCTTCTCCCTGTATGTCCATTTGAGGCTGTTTTTTTCTTTTTCTTCGCAATACCCCTGATGTGTTCATCTGAACTTTTTACGAAACTCTTCCATATAGTATGTCAAGCAACAAATAAAGCTCCTTGCCATTGGTAAATGCTGACATCTCCTTCTGCACATGCAGATCCCCAGTGTCTACCACATATTAATAAACATAGGCAGAGTATAGAACAGACTTGTCTTCTCATTTTGAGAGGGAGTGGAGCACATATTTCAACAAACATCAATGTATAATTGAATTGATCAAGGCCATTATTTCTTCTGAAGCCCCAGCTTCCTGCCCTGTTGTCAAGCACCTTTCTTTACACGTTTCTCACATTTGTCTTCTACTATCTTTTTCAGGTTTCTACCCTCTTTCGAGTCTTTACAGGAGACCTCAAATTCCATCTTTGTCCTGCAGAGAAATTCAGTTCTCTTTGTCTTTCTGCACCCATTAAGGCTCTGTTCCAGGACTTTTTTCACCAAAAAGCCCATCAGATTTCTTTCCTTAACATAGTAACATCCACACTGTATATAAATTATGCCACTCCCTTGGAATGCAAAATATTCAGTTATATTTTATTGTATCAGATCTTCAGTTAAAATTTGAAATACGGAAAATGTATTTTAGAACTGATAAAATATCTTTTTTAAAAATAGAATTAAAAATTTTATTTATGTAGGCATGACATTACAGTATTACAGTAATGATATCATAAGTGCTGTCTAGGACTAGCTCATTTAATAAGAAAAGTACTGTCTAGGTGTATCTCACTTAAATATATCATGTTCCAAAATGTGTATATATGTGTTAATAAGTATAGTGGTTCATCTAGTAGAAAGAAGTACATGCGAAGAAAAAGTATTATTTTGAGTATGACCACCCTCTGGTACTCTTTTTGTTGTTATTGTTAATCCTTACCCGAGGATATTTTTCCATTAATTTTTAGGTAGAGTGGAAGAGAGAGAGAAAGACAGAGAGAAACATCAATGTGAAAGAAGCACATCTAGCCCTAACCGGTTTGTCTCAGTGGATAGAGCATTGGCCTGCAGACTCAGGGGTCCCAGGTTCAATTTCAGTCAAGGGCATGTACTTTGGTTGCGGGCATATCCCTAGTAGGCGGTGTGCAGGAGGCAGTTGATTGATGTTTCTCTCTCATTGATGTTTCTAACTCTCTCTCCCTCTCCCTTCTTCTCTGTAGAAAATAAATAAAATACATTTTAAAAAGAGAAGCACATCTGTTGGTTGCCTCCTGCATATACCCTGACCCAGGCCCTGGCTGGGGAGGAGCCTGTAATCAAGTGCTTGATCAGAATCAAACCCCAGACCCTTTAGTCCACAGGCCAATGCTGTATACACTGAGCCAAACCTGGCTAGGGTTGGTATTCTTAACTGTTTGTTTACAGACCTCAGTTCTAGCAGAAAGTCCAAAGGAAAGAAAACATTTTGTTAGGTTAAAAGGGAAGAGTGAAATTATAAATAGATTTATATTCTATAATTATTATAATATATAATTAATTACATACTAATATTAATTGTATGATAGATATATCAATGGTTATATATTTAGTTAATGTATTTATTATAATTGTATTCAACCAAACAGTGGAATGACTGGTGGAATGACCAGTTGCTATGACACGCACTGACCATCAGGGGGCAGATGCTCAACATAGGAGCTGCCCTCTGATGGTCAGTATGCTCTCAAAGGGGGAGCACCACTTAGCCAGAAGGTACAGGCTGGGCTGAGGGAGCCCCTCCAGTGCACAAATTTTGTGCACCGGGCCTCTAGTTATTATAATATATTAGTATATATTATTAGTAGTAGTCCATGTTGTTATGTTGAAAGAATAAAATTATAAGTGGAATTATATTTTAAAATCATTATGTAAAATAATGAAAACAAAATGATTCACTATTGTGGGCCACCACTCCTGAGAAAACAGGTACTAAAGAAACAAGTTATAGCTATGGTTTGGGATCAGTAGGAAGAATAATTTCTTTCTGATTCCAGTGATTTCCCTGGCTCTTTTGGCTACTTTGAAAATGGATATTTAGATTTAAACAGACTCAGGGTGTATGTTCTAGTCTACAGCTTTCAAATTTGCACCAAGGCTTCCCCACAGGGCATCAGGGTTTTTGAAACGGAGTTGTGATTCAAATTTACTTAGATCATCATGAGAAGTCTGGAGCAAACGAAAATCAAAATGGTCTGGAGAATCTCAGAATTGGGAATTTAACTGGGCTTGGAATATGGCTCAGAACAACCTAAATGGTTAACTGGTATAGAGTTTTGATGTTCTTCAGACTTCAAGGGGTGAGCCAGGTCAAATGAGGGTTCCTAAAACAGTAAAATCTGGATGATGTCCCATCAATCTTGATAAATCTTCATTTATATTGGCTTTATGTTCTTATAGGGCGGCCATGTGGCTTATGCATTCAGCTTATCTTTGTCATTTGTTCTACTTAATTTAAATATAAATAGATATTTAAAAATTATATATTTTTATTGATTTCAGAGAGAAAGGGAGAGGAAGAGATAGAAACATCAATGATGGGAGAGAATCATTGATTGGCTGCCTCTTGCACCCGCACCCTGAGATTGTGACTGGAATCAAACCCGGGACCCTTCAGTCCCCAGGCTGACACTCTATCCACTGAGCCAAACCAACTAGGGCTATAAATAGATTTTTAAAATACCTTAAAACTGAAAGCTGCTGAATTGTGATTAATTCTTTCTTCAGATATATCTGCTGGAGATGTGGTGAATCCACCGAAACCCTTTCATGAAGTATTTAAAGAAGGAGAAGAAGGGCATGACCTATATGTTGTTTCTCACAATGATTATTATGTGGGTGAGTGTCCCCCAGTATAAAATAGGCTGCCAATATGGGACTATTATATTTGTGAAGAGAAATAAAAGAGACAATGTGCATAAAGTCAAGTGCCTGGCATATCATGGGTGATCAATAAATAATAACATTTAAAAAAATAAGGTCATCAACTCCCATAGCTGGGACCACATGTCCTTACACATTTTGTATATAAAATGTAGAAAGGTACATATCATTAAAATGAAAAGACAGGTAAGAGAAATTAAATGGTAGATAGTGTTATTTCGTTTTAGTGGTTTTAGGCTTTAAAATACTGTTCTTTTTAAAATGTCAGGATTATTCTAAGTGCTTAGCTTTATATGAGGAATATTGATTGGGTAATGGTTAAGTGAACAACTTCTGAATCAGATATATCCGGTTCAAATTATAGCTTTTCTTTTAGACCTTGGTTATTTTAATTGTCCTATTAACATCTAGTCTCTTAAATGGGGATAATAATATTGTGAGGATTAAGTGAGTGCTTGCAAAAGGCTTAGCATAGTGCCTGGAATATGGTAAAAGCTCAATAGGTATTAGTATTAAGTCATTTTGATTAATAGTAACATATCACTAGAATTATTCTACAGCACTGCTGAAAGGCATTAGATGCTTATAGTGCTATAAAACACAAATTAATTGTTAATGTGTTGATGTTAGGTAGAACCTTGATATGATAGAGGATTGAGAATTAGACTCTGATATATGTCCTGAGAAAGCTGCTGAATTGTGAATGATTCATGAACTCAACTTCCATTAGCTAGAAGCAAGACTCTCCCTTGATTGCAGCTCAAGGCACCCCTCTCCCTTGCTCCTTCTTCATTTCTTTACTTTTTCTCCTCCACCATCTTACTCCCTGTCTGTGCTCTTCCTTCTAAACTTTTATCATAGCTGAGACTTGTATCCTATGCTCGTTGTTCCACTGTCTGGAATCTGCCATTCTCTTCTTTCATGATCAATATCTGCTGGTTCCCTACACTAATAGGATCCTAGTCTTGAGATTTGTCTCTGCCTTGCCATTCAGACTGTCACTGCTGCCACTGGCTTGGTCATCATGTTCCTTCTCACAACCTTGACTTCTCTATCTCTACCCCCTCTACTTTCTGACTCTTTCCCCCTCTTTCTTCCTTTCCTCCTCCTTCCCTCCCTTTCTTTCTTGTGAAAATATTTTATTTACTTTTTGGGAAAAGTTTAGCATCTCTCACATAATCTAATCCAATGCCTTTTAGTTGTTTTTTAAAAAAACTGTATGAATGAATGTATACAGACAGCCTACAGTGAGGTATCTTAGATGCATTTAGCAATTGGAGGTAAATGAATGTAGATTTAAAAAATGTATTTTGAAGGACTTAATTTCATTGCTTATTTTTACAGATGTTTCATTGGCCTCTTGAAAAGTCATGAAACCCAATCTTTTAAATATTGCCCTTATTTTTTTCATAATGAAATTATTTCCATTTTCTTGTAAAAATACATAATATTGTGTATAATTTACATATAAAAATGATGAAAAAGTAAATGTGACCTTGAAATCTCATTCACCAGAGATGCCTACAGTTTTTATATTAAACATCTTTCTAATCCACTATTCATTGAGCTATCTTATTCTCAATGCTTTTGGAGAACCTGCTATACACATTAAACATTTTTATTAACTTAATATGTCAAGGACACTGTTCAGTAGGTACACATCTACAACTTGTTTTAAATACACTTAACTTAAATCATTACTAAAGTAATAGATATTTCTTTTATAAATTGCAAGCTACAGAGAAATACATAAAGTACAATGAAAATCTTCCACAACTCCCAATCTTGCACAGATGATACTCTCAAAGCTGTATTTGCTCATTCATATATGAGTATATGTGTGTGTTTTGCTCTGTATATATGTTTTTTTTCTATTTGCTTTCTTCCCCGTTGTATGAAATATCTTGGTTATCTTTTCATGTGCATTTCAATATTATGTTTTTCAATATTAAAAAATATTGTTTATATATCTTTGTGACTATGATCTATTTCCTTAGAATATACATTCCTATATTTCTGAGCATCAAAAGTTTTCACTCTTAGAGCCAAACTGGTCTCCTGAATAGCTTCCCCAATTTGCCCTCACACCCACAGAATATGAGAATTTTCACTTCCCCACATCTTCCCAGATAATGAGTTTGCCAATCTTTTCTTTTTTTCTTTCTTTCTTTTTCTTTTTCTTTTTTTTTTTTTTTAATACTGACCCAAGGATATTTTTCCATTGATTTTTAGTGAGAGTGGAAGAGAGAGGAAAAAACAGAGAGAAATATTGATGTGAGAGAAACACATCGATTGGTTGCCTCCTGCAGGAGCCCGGGACCAGGGCCTGGGCCAGGGAGGAGCCTGTAACCAAGGCACATATTCTTGACTGGAATCAAACCAGGCCAACGCTCAATCCACTGACCCAAACTGGCTAGGGCCAATCTTCTTTATTGTTACTTAACTAAGAGACCAATTATAATTTCACATGATTGTTTTTCTTTATTTGGGTTACTAGTGAGTCTGAATATCTTCTCTCCATTTTGTTTTAACCTTTGAGCTAATCTCTAGTTTCAGTCTTACTTTCTAATCTAGAAATAGAAACTAATGCTACATTTTTTGACTTAAAAAGAAAAAAAAAAACACAGTATAGATCTTAAATATAAAGACCTCCCTGTTGTGTTCTCAGCTCTCAATCACCCTTTGAATGTTTCTAATATGAGATAAATGATTTTAGGGAACTGTGAGGGTTTCAGTGTTCTGATTATGTCACTAAATCTCAGTGAAAGCAAGTACAGAACACCAACCTCTATGATCTTAACATGATGGTAAGGACTCCTGGGATCCCAAAGCATCACCCAACCTCCCCGATCTTCAGGATTTCTATAATGTTAATTGGGTCTGCACTTTTCATCATTTCCCTACATACTTTCCAAATATTAACACAAGGAACTCTTGTCTCACCAGTCTCCTACTTCACATGGGAGAATGCTTCTGTCATCTGTTGCCAAATTGTTACAGTTTCATTCTTTGTTCCACTCTCATTTTCAATGTCAATGAGAACATAATGTGCTCTTCCAGATAAGGTGATTTGTATTGCAGAAGTCAGAAGTCTCCCCTTTCTTTTCACAGGAGAAGCAAAGAACCGAAAATATAACCCGTCAACTTTCCATAGGTTTAACCTGTTTGGGGTCTCAACACCCCATTTTAATGATGGACGAACCATTGCACAAAGTTTATATTGGCTCCACGAATTACAAATGTAAGTTTAATTATATTGTATCCTGGGACAAGTGTTAGATATGTGACCTGAGGGGGGGGAGAGGGAGGGAGGGAGGAGAGAGAGAGAGAGAGAGAGAGAGAGAGAGAGAGAGAGAGAGAGAAAGAGAGCGCGAGAGAGAGCTATTTGTTATTTCACTTATTTATGCATTCATTGGTTGCTTCTTACATGCGCCCTGACTGGGTATAGAACCCGAAACCTTGTTGATCAGGACAATTCTCTAATCAACTGAACTAAGGTTGATTTATTTTTTGAAGAGGTAATACAATGATATGTTTCAGACATAAAATTAATAGAAAAGTTGTAGTGGTGTATCTTCCAAATTGACCAGTTCCCCCATAAATAATCATGATAATTTCTGTGTGTGTGAGTATGTGTAAGTAATATATCATCTAAAATTACTTGGTGATTTTACAAGCAAATATAAAGCCATGTATGAATGTTTTTGGTCTATGGGGTTAACCATATTGATATTTCTTAAAGATAATAGGTTGTTTTTTTTGTTTTTATATTTTTATTTATTTCAGAGAGGAAGGGAAAGGGATAGAAAGAAATATCAATGACGAGAGAGAACATTGATTGGCTGCCTCCTGCATGCCCCCTACTGAGGATCAAGCCCACAACCCAAGCATGTGCCCTTGACTGGAATAGAATGTGGGACCATTCAGTCTAGAGGCCAACACTCTATCCACTGAACTAAACTAGCTAGGACTAGATAATGGGTTTTCAAATCTCTACAAAGATAACCATGTCACATATAATTAACCAGTCCTTTATGATTCATCTTGGTTTAATAGATATTTGGGTCCAAATGATGTGGCTCGGTGGTTGAATATTGACTTAAGAATCAGGAGGTCATGGTTAGATTCCTGGTCAGGGCACATGCCCAGGTTTCAGGTTTGGTCACCAGTGGGGAGCGAGCAGAAGGCAGCCGATCAATGATTCTCTCTCATCATTGATATTTCTCTCTCCCTCTTCCATCCTTTTTGAAATAAATAAAAATATATTAAAACACACACACACGCACACACACACACACAAAACACACATCTAGGGCAGTGGTCGCAAACTCACTAGTCAACAGAGCCAAATATCAACAGTATAACGACTGAAATTTCTTTTGAGAGCCAAATTTTTATAACTTAAACTTCTTCTAATGCCACTTCTCCAAAATAGACTTGCCCAGGCTGTGGTATTTTGTGGAAGAGCCACACTCAAGAGGCCAAAGAGCCACATGTGGCTCTCGAGCCGCAGTTTGTTGACCCCGGACCTAGAGCAATATTATATGTGAATTATATCTCAGTACAAAATAATTGAATTTATAAAAGCAGGCAATAAAGAGAGAACATTTGTCTCCAACTTATCTCTATCCAAGAGGAAACATTGTTTATAGAACAATGTTTTATTTGATCATAATTTTTGTATTTTGAAACTTAATTGGAAATTGTTGCTAAAATAATAGAGTGTTTATTCCTTCAGTTTGTTGGATTTTTATTTATTTTTATTTTTTTTATTTAATATATTTTATTGATTTTACACAGAGAGGAATTGAGAGGGATAGAAAATTAGAAATGTCGATGAGAGAGAAACATTGGCCAGCTGCCTCTTGCACACCCCCACTGGGGATGCGCCCGCAACCAAATTATAATACATGCCCTTGACCAGAATCGAACCCGGGACCTTTCAGTCCGCAGGCCAATGCTCTATCTACTGAGCAAAACCAGTTTCAGCTAGTTTGTTGGATTTTTAAAAAGAACTTACTGCCGAAAACGGTTTGGCTCAGTGGATAGAGCGTTGGCCTGCGGACTGTTTGATTCTGGTCAAGTGCATGTACCTTGGTTGCGGGCACATCCCCAGTGGGGGGTGTGCAGGAGGCAGCTGATCAATGTTTCTCTCCCATCGATGTTTCTAGCTCTCTATCTCTCTTCCTCTCTGTAAAAAATCAATAAAATATATAAAATAAAGTCTATAAAAAGAACTTACTACTTTTCGGTGTGATTTCTAGAATAAACTTGGAATTAAGCATGTTTGTTTACATTTTAAGGCGTCTGAATTTTATATGTACTATTTTTAAAAACAATATTTTTATTGTTTTTAGAGAGTAAGAGACTGGGAGAGAGAGAGAGAAACATCAGTGATGAAAATCTTTGATCAGCTGCCTTCTGCATGCCCCCTACTGGGGAACTGAACCCACAGCCCAGGCATTGAACCATGACCTTCTGGCTCATAGGTCAGCATTCAACCACTGAGCCATGCTGGCTTGGCTTATATGTACTATTTTAACATAACTTTGGTTTAGACTTAACTTTTAAGTGATATATTTCCTCTGTAAAACTACCTCTATCTGTATTCTGTTTATGACTTTTGATTTGAAGAATCAGTTAGAATCTTCAAATAATAAATGTGTGTGTGAAAAATTTTTACTGGCATGCAAAGGACTTTATTCTGAGTTGATCAGTGAATGCTGTGAGGTTGTGTAATAATGTTAAATTATTATCTATACTAATAAAAGGGTAATATGATAATTAGACTAGGAGACCTTCTGGACATCCTTCCGGACAAAGCCATGGTGGTGGGGCCCAGGCAGAGGCTTTTAGGGATGATCAGGCTGACAGGGCAGAGCAGTTGGGAGCAGGATGGTGGGGGAGGGGGGGCAGGTGGGGGCGAACAGGCCAGCATGGGGGCAATTGGGGGTGAGCAGGCTGGCAGAGGAGTCAGTTGGGGGCAAGAAGGCTAGCAGGGAGGCAGTTGGGACCAAGCAAGCTGGTGGGAGGGCAGTTGGGGGCGAGCAGGCTGGTGGGGCAGATAGTTAAAGGTGGTCAGGCTGGGAAGCATAGTGGTTAGGGGAAATCAGGCAGGCAGGCAGGTGAGTGGGTAAGAGCCTGTGGTTCCAGATTGCAAGAGGGATGTCCAACTGCTGGTTTAGGCCCTATTGGAGAAGGTGCCGGCTGGACTGAGGAACATCCCTCCCTGTGAACAAATTTTGTGCACTGGGTCACTAGCTCTGACATAAATGGCTTCTCACAGATACTTTCTGATTCTCCCAGAAGCATAATCCAGGCACTATTAGACTAGAGAGAGTAGACTCTGTGGTTTATATAATAACCCTTATCGTTCTTCCATGTTCCTAATTATGTGTTTTGGAGCTGGTTTTTAGATTGTCAGCTTTATTTATTTTAAATTATGACCTTTATATTGCCATTGATTTAGTCTCACTGTTACCCATATTGTTTTCCCCTTCTTTTTGAACTAATGGAAAGTAAATGAAGAAATAAGAATTGAATTACTTTATATTTCATTTTTTGTTTCTCCACAGAGTGTCACTCTTCTCCAGAAATTTATTCAGCTTGATATTTCTATAGCACAGGAAATGGTTTTAAAAGAAAATGAAATATAAGAATTTTATATTCATTGTTTTCAGTCTTGAGCAAAACAATAGAGAATTTATTTATTCTTATGTTATTGAATAGTAGTGTTATAATTTTACAGTTCTCAAAAAATACTACTCATTTAATCACAATAAAGTAACAACATTATATTACAAAAAATTGGCAAAATAAAATCATCCATATTTTTGTCACTTTAATTCAGCCATTATTATTTTTAATGTATTTTTTCTAGTGGGGCTTCCTTATAGATTTCTGCATAGGTTTCATCAGAGTGAAACCTCATTCTTTATTCTTTTTCATTAACATCAAATAGTTTTATATTGCTGTGTATTTTTAATAACCAACATTTAAATTGCATGCAATATTGTTGTTAATATGACACAAATATAATCACCCTTGATGATTGAATATTTATATTCTTTTTGCATTATAGTCAACGAGGCTACAAACATTTTTATAAATATAACTTCTCTACATTTTTGTTATGTGGATTATATTATTATGATTGGTTCCCAGAGGTAGATAAAAAAGGGAATGAACATTTTTATGCTTTTTGAATTATATTACCAAATTATTTCCAAAAGGATTATAGCAGTTTGCACTAGCAATCTGCAAGTGTTTTACCATTCTTTTTGCCAATGTTGAATATTTTCTTCCTCAGTCTCCCTGTCTCTGTCTCTCTTGATGTCTCTTTATCTCTCTGTCTCTCTGTCTCTCTCTCTGTCTCTCTGTCTCTCTGTCTCTCTCTCTCTCTCTCTCTCTCTCTATATATATATATATGCTGGTATACTATGTTAAAAATGGTACTTTGTTGTTTTTTACCCTAGAGGCCCAGTGCACGATATTCATGCATGGGGTGGGAGCGGGAGGGAGGGTGTCCATCAGCTCAGCCTGCACCCTCTCCAATCTGGGATCCCTCTCACAATCCAGGACTGCTGGCTCCCAACTGCTTGCCTCCCTGCCTTCCTGACTGCCCCTAACCTCTTTGCCTGCTAGCCCGATCACCCCCTAACAACTCCCATGTCAGCCTGATTGATGTCTAACTGCTCCCCTGCCAGCCTGTTTGCCCCTAACTTCCCTTCTCTGCCGGCCTGGTCACCCCTAATTGCCCTTCCTTGCTGGGTTGATCACCTCCAACTGCCCTTGATTGCAGGCCTGGTCCACTGCTCTCCTCTGCTGGCCATCTTGTGGTGGCCATCTTGTGTCCACATGGGGGCAGCCATCTTTGACCACATTGGGGAAGCTATTGTGTGTTGGAGTGATGGTCAATCTACATATTACTCTTTTATTAGATAGGAGAGAGGCCTGGTGCACGGGTGGGGGCCAGGTTTGCCCTGAAGGGTGTCCTGGATCAGGGTGGGGGTTCCCTTGGGGTGTTGGGTGGCCTGGGCGAGGGGCCTGTGGTAGTTTGCAGGTCAGCCATGCACCCTGATGACCCAAGCGGAGGCCCTGGTATCTGGAATTTATTTACCTTCTATAATTGAAACTTTGTAGCCTGGAGCAGAGCCAAGCCTCCTGTCACTCCGTGGCTGACAGCCATTTCTGTTTGGATTTGTTTACCTTCTATAATTGAAACTTTGTAGCCTTGTGGAGGCCTAGGCCAGCAAGGGCAGGTGGAAAGCTTGACTTTCTCATTGCCTGGGAAACCCAAGCCTCCCTCCTGCTCTCTGTAGCTCTAGCCATCTTGGTTGGGGTTAATTTGCATACTTGCTCTGATTGGCTGGTGGGCATGGCTGATAGTTGTTGAGTGTAGCAGAGTGATGGTTGATTTGCATATTACTCTTTTATTAGGTAGGATTCTTTCATTACTGGACAATATTATAATTTCTCTATATTTGCTTACTAGGTGCAAGTTATCTTTATATTATTTACTTATTTAATGCTTAATTTTCTTTTAGCAATTTTAAAAGTTAGATTTATAATAATAACATTAACACCTTGGTTTTGTTCATTGAAAACAAATTGAAGTTGACCTTCTTATTCTTTCATTAAAATTTCACATTGTATCATTAATTTACCTTTATAATCTCTCTCTATATATAAAAGGCTGATATGCTAGGTGTTTGACTGTCTGGGAAATGGTCACATAGCAATGCTCACCTTCATCTCCCTAGTGACTAGCCTCCTTGCAGTTTCTTCAACCCAGGTGGAAACATTTAACACTTTAACTAAATGTCTGTGAAGAATTTTCCAGTGCTTCATCTCATTTGATCTTACAGAAGTCCTAGAGTAGGTAGATGGGAGACGGAGTGGAATCCTGTTTTCTTTTTATTAGCCAGAAAACAGAGATTTAGAAACTTTAGAAACTTGACCAAACTGAAAAGAAGTAAGAAATGGTGGACCTTGAAAATGACTTCAAATTTTCTCACTTCTCAGATTATAGTCAAACACTGCTGCAGTTAATTATTTTACCCTTTGTTTTCCCTGCATGATCGACAATAATAATCTGCTTTGTGTTGATATTTACTGCTGTGTGGCTGACAATTACCTGAAAGAGAAGTTGGGGTGCTTTATTGGGCTGGAAAAAGTTTAGCTACATCAAAAAACCAGGTCTAATTAAGCAAGTTTATTCTATATCTATAAAAGGCTAAATTGACTCATGCATATATGATACAAATAAAGCTTCAAATGCATGTGTATCATTCTGTCATTGTTGATCCTGAATTTGGTTGACACTTCTATTATAGAAAAAGGGAAAATAGCGAAATTAAAGTATTTCTTCTAACTAATTTCTTTCAATGTGCATGAATTTGTGCACTGGGCCACTAGTAGAATGATAGAAGAATGAGCATATAGCTTTCTTTTTAGCATATAATTTATTTTGAAACTGGATTTATTTTCCTGATGACCCTAAGTGTACTGAGATTTTCCTTACCATATGTATATTTTGCAGCCAAGAATACTTTAGGTGGTGGAGATAACTGACACTTTTCTAATATTGTAGGAAAAAAGGAGCGAAGGTTGTATCCAAGAGAATTGATGATTTCAAAGAAAAGTTTCAACATCAACTTGGGAGAGTCTTAGATCCGTAAGTTAATGATTAACTTCAAATCGAGAGTGTCTGTAGATTGAATTTTAAAAGTACTCTTGTGGTAAATGTTGGCTCGTGATCTGTTTCTATCTATTAAATAAGAAAGCCATCCTTGTGTGTTGATCTGTCAGCTTCCTCAGTGTCTGTAGTTGCAGGAAAAGTGCCGAGTTCTCCGGGATGGAGAGGCATTTGGAGAAGAGGGAGGGGGAACTTTGTGTAAAGCTTTATTTCATTTTAACTTACTGTGTTACATTTTCCTCTCTCTTCCCTGTCTCTGGAGACCTTCTGTTCAATAATGTCATAGTTTGGTTATAGGAGAAAATATGGGCTATTAAAAACATATGGCAAACATATTTTAAATTCCAGGGATGCCATGTGGTGGGTATTTTAACTAAAGGATTTGTTTTCTTGGCTAGCATTGCAGAAACAATGAATGTTCATCCGGACCACACATTTGGAGCTTGTCTCCGTCCTGACGACTATGGTAAATACACAGACTTTCTCCTTAACAAAACAAACAACACACCCTCCCCACCACCCGACAACCACACACACACAACGTTATGCAGTTACGTTCCTCTCAAAGCGTCTAATTTTAGATGCTTAAAATATCATAGGAATATTAATAAGAAAAGTTTGTAACACAAGAAAGAAAAAAAGTTTTCATGTCATGTTTGAAAGAGGCACAAATTAAAGCCTTTGTAATGAATTTCTTCAGTCAATTAGGGCTCACAGTTTTATTTAGAAAATACATGTGGCCTGTATTAAACAAGTCAAAGTGAAGTGGGGCAGCCTTTTAATGAATCAGATATTGTACTAGGCCCTTGCTACTCAAAATGTGGTCTGCAGGCAGGCAGTGTTGTCTCTGCAAGCTTCTGAGAAATGCAAAATCTCAGGCTTCACCCAGACCTGCCAAGTCAGAAACCCAATTTTAATAATATTTCCAGATGAATTATACTTACCCTCTATTTTGAGAAAGCACTGTACTCTACAACCACATAATTAAGAGCTGCTCTCTTCCTAATCAATCATTTAATCATTTTCTAAAAGTGGTTACAGAAACTTAGCAGGAGTTTTTCTTTATTTCTAAGCAAACTTAAAAAAATAAAAAATATATATATTTTATTGATTTTTTCAGCGAGGAAGGGAGAGGGCTAGTTAGAAACATCACTGAGAGAGAAACATCGGTCAGCTGCCTCCTCCTGCACACTCCCTACTGGATATGTGCCCGCAACCAAGATACATGCCCTTGACCAGAATTGAACCTGGGACCCTTGAGTCCGCAGGCCAATGCTCCATCCACTGAGACAAACCGGCTAGGCTAAAAAAATTTTTTTTTAAATTGATTTTTTAAAAGAGAGACAAAGGAAGAGGTGGAGAGAGAGAAAAATCAAAGTGAGAGCTAGAAAGACATCGATCAGCTGTTTCCTGCATACCTCTAGCAGGGATCCAGCCTGCAACTCAGGGACTTTATTAAATATGCAGGTTCCTGGGATCCATGCCCAGATAGTCTGACTCAGTAGGCTCTTACACATACTAAAGTTTAAGAACTACTACTGAAGGTGATTTAGTTAAAGTCCACTCACTGACAAAATAAATATTTATTTTTATGTAGTTTATGCAGCACAGTGTTTTGGAGCATCATTAATTCAGGGAAGTTTCTTTAAGTCATGAAAGGTAAAAGATAAATGAAAGCAATGGCATGTGGATTGGAAAGGTCATTTCTTCCAAATAAGTGAAGGGGTCATGGGCTAGGATGCTTAGTTAATGAAGCTGAGGATGGGGTAGGGGTGTTGGTAGTGGCATAGGGAGAAGCAGGACTGGGAAATGGGAACTTGATCTGCAGACTGAAGGTGGACTATAAACCCATATTAAGGGTGGGGGGAGAAGGAATTTGAGTCCAGTTTTAAAAAAGAAAATGTTTTTATTGATTTCAGAGAGAGGAAGGGAGAGGGAGAGAGAGAAACATCAATGATGAGAGAATTTCAATTGGCTGCCTCCTGCACGCCCCCAACTGGGATCGAGCCCAAACACTGGGCAAGTGCCCTGACTGGCAATTGAACTGTGACCTCCCGGTTCATGGGTTGAGGCTCAACCACTGAGCAATGCAGGCCAGGCTTGAGATCAGTTTTTACAGGGGCTCCCAGAGGTTCAGCCATCTCTGAGGCATATAGAGTGGCCCCCACATGACATCAGCCCTAGCTTTCCAGTCCTCAGCATTGCAGCTAAGAAGCAGTCAGGTCTCCAGTGTCATAGGAAATGACTTGACAGCTGAGCAGGGCTAATGATGCCCCCCAAAAATTTATTTCTTCAGATTTTTTTTCATTGATCTGAGAAGTCACATAAAACAGAAATATTAGTGTTTGTCCATTCATATACTTTTTTATACACAAGATTTTGTCTTGCTGGATTATGGCATTGGAGTTAGGTAGATTTTTCATTCATAAAAGTTGTTTGATCACTCTCTTTAGCATGAGAATACAATTGACAAACTTTATATTCAGATAAAAGACTTTTCCCTCCTCTTCAATAGGCTCTGATGACCTCATCTATAATAGACTCCCGAGTGAATACCTTCGAGGCAAGGACAGGGAGCGAGCCCTGGTCGCAGCAGTTCGTCATCACTTGAAGAACTTTAACTGCGAAAAGTTTGACTCTTTGGTGGCAGCCTTCAGGCACTATGATAAGGCCAGTAGTAGAGCAGAGCTTTTTGGTTTGTGTGTGGGTTTCCAGATCCCTGCAGATGGGTGTAGACCTGGAGCCAGGGAGCTCTGGCCTGTGGGTCAAATTCAGTCCACCTCCTGTTTTAGTAAATAGTCTTACATGCCCATGTGTTTTGAGTGTTGTCTGTGGCTGCTTTTGTATTACAAATGCACAGTAGTGCGTCAGAGACTGCATGGCCTATGAGACCAACAATATATACTTTTTGGTCCTTGACAGAAAAAATTTTCTGACCTTTGCAGTGGTTGTCAATGTGTGGTTCTTTACCACCATCACTACCATTTGGGAATGTGTTTAAAATGCACATTGCAACACCCACCCCAGACCTACTGAATTAGGAACTCGGGTGGAGCATGGCAACTGCGCTTTAACAAGCCCTTCAAGTGATTCTGACACACATTCAAGTTTGAGAGCCACCGATGTAGGTTATTTAACTAGTGTATGCTGGGAGCAATGGGAGGGAAGCACCGTGGATCCCTGGGGAAGACTCCTGAGGCAGAGACTATCTACATATAAATCTGAATATGCACACACAGTACTATCAGTCTAGGTCCATGCCTCTCCTTTGGGGAGCAGGCTGTGGTTTCAGTTTTGAGAAGGCAAGATCATTCGATTTTCAAGTTACTCTGAATTTTATCCTTTGATAAAGTAGATCAACCTAGAGCTGTGGAGTTACCTGACCCCATTATAGGTCATCAGAGGATTGCTTTACCAAGCTGCTTGCCTTTAGGTTATACTAAGGAACACTATTATATAAACTGCTTGTGAAACCATGGCACATTTTTGTTTTTATGTACACAAGACTATTTATTTTTGTCAAGTGCATTCTCTGTATAAGGAAACCCTGTCTTTCCACAGGTAATAACTGTGCTTCACCTAAGTATTTGGTTTGTTTTTACCTTATAAATAACATGAATTTTGCACTAACTGTCCAGATCTTTTTGACTAGGTCACCAGAAAGCTCAGAGCCAATTCAGTGAAACTCATCTAGTTTGTGAATATGATCTTATAGCATACATGTTGTATGCTCTTTTTATTTAGATTTCATCTTAATTTTTTCCATCTTTATATTCTTTTGCCCTGATTTCCTCACTTTTATTTTGGTTCTGTTTTTATTTTGTACTTATTCTTATTAATTGTATTTATTTTTCTAGGCAGTCTAACATAACAACCATTTTAGAATGATTCTAATAAAAACAAGTAAAAGTTTATAAATAAATCTGTGATGATGTGATGTATCATCTTGATATGAGAAGAAAAAAAGAACAGAATAATTTTAGTTTATTTCAAAAGGAAAAATATTCCTATTTCTCTTCCTCTGTTGAGTATAGTTTTGAAAATGTTACACTTTATAATTTTTTATCTTAAAAGAATCTTGATCACTCATAGGCTAATTAATTTTAAGTCCATTCATTTTATTTGTTTTTAGATTAGGGCCTGTATACCTGTGTTGTCCTAATTCATAAAAAGTGGGTTAATATTCTCATTTAGGTGTGTACTAATTAAGTAGGGACATACACCAATCAGTCATCAATTACACTTCTCACATAGTTGTGTTTAAAGAAAAATTAGGCTTATCTAATTCTCACTCCTTTTATTCTAATTATTATAAGTATTCAGCGGTTTCTCTGGTTTTTCATTAGAGACCAATTGCTATTTACAGGTAATTTAAAAATGATTTTTCAGAATTAAAATATGTAAGCTAAAATAAATACATTTTAAGCTTAACTCAAAGCCAAATTATTTTATAAAGATGGTATCCGGGGAAATTTATATAGTAGTGATATGAATAAGAAAACCTACCCAACACTAGTTCTCTGCTTTTAAAAACTTCTTCATTTTAAATGTAATTATGGGCAAGACGATCATCTTAATAGATGTTGATTATCTTAGTGAACCACCAGGCATACTCCTTATGATACAATTAAATTAAGCAGAGAGGAAATTACTGAGAATTATTTAATGCTGATACACCTTTTAAATAGTAAATTTTTAAAATGTGCAATATAGTGCTCAGTGTTCTTGAGGAGTTTTTTTTTTCTTTTTTCTTTTTTTCTTTTTCTGAGAGAGTAATAAGATGTGGGCCTTCCTACTATAGTTGTAGGATAATTTTTGATTATTTGAATTTTCTATCATTGAATGTCCTTATTTATTTATTTATTTATTTATTTATTTATTTATTTATTATAGTGTTGTTGTTGTTTTTTTCCTGTTAATCCTTACCAAGGACATTTTTCCATTGGGGGGAAAAATTTTTTTTTTAAAGAGAGTATAAGGGGAAGAGATAGAGAGAAACATCTATGTGAGAGTGACAAATTGATTAGTTGCCTCCCCCACTTTTCCTCTAAATTAGGCCAGGGATGGAGCCTGCAAATGCTGTACTTGCCCTTGATTGGAATCAAACCCATGCTTCTTCAGTCTGTGGCCCTATGCTCTATCTATTGAGCCAAATCGGCTAGGGCTTGAATGCCTGTTTTTAATTTAATGCCAAAACAAAACTAACAAAATATTTTCCCCTAAATGAATCCTGTTGGCTTAGAGGGTTAATTCTGTTATTTATTGAGCAGACAATAAATCACACATTACTATGGATAATGTGTAGACTTTCCATTTAGGAAACTTAAAATCTAGAGGGTGGAAAATGCATCATGTCCAAGAATGGTCACAACAGAGTTCCACACTTTCAAAAATTAGGCCTATAGCTGAAACCGGTTTGGCTCAGCATCGGTCTGCGCACTGAAAGGTCCCAGGTTCGATTCCAATTGGGCATGTACGTTGGTTGCGGGCACATCCCCGGTAGGGGGTGTGCAAGAGGCAGCTGGTCCATGTTTCTCTCTCATTGATGTTTCTAGCTCTCTATCTCTCTCTCTTCCTCCCTGTAAAAAATCAATAAAATATATATTTTTTTAAAAATTAGGCTTATATAATTCTCACTCCTTTTATTCTAATTATTATCCAGGAAGCAGCTGAGATGGGGTGGATTCCTTTTTGGGGGCAGCTGCATTCAGAGACAAACCTGCTTTACTGTAAGATGTATGAGCAGGAGCTGATAAGGAAGGTAGTCCATTTGTGAGGCTATTCCAAAGCTCAGATGGCTGTGGATGGTTGAGAGCAGGAATGGTTCATAGAATACTTTGCTGAACAGCTCATTGTTGAATAGCTTTTGGGCTATATATAAGGCACAGCACTGTCAGACTGAAAATGGTCCAGAAAGCAAAACACATGACTCAGATAAATTTCACGGGCCATTCTGTTGCGACTGGAGCTGGTTGATTAGACTGCATAGCTGTTTCATAACTTGAAAAAGTGTCAACAGTGGTGAGGCACCATTCAGAGCTCTGAGAGGGATCAGAGCCTGCCAGGAGCATGGAGCAATGCCTTGTGTGCAATGTGTTTCCCTTGCCTCATGAGACAAATGGGTCAGGAGTCACAGTTTGGCACAGGGTGGTAGCCTCTGCATAGGAAACACAGAGTGCTTTACTTTATGCCTTGTCTGTGGTGGTGGCTGTGTTGCCATGTCTGGTGCAACGATGGATCTGGCTGGGTAGCCATGGCGGCAGTCTGAATGGATCAGGCTCAGTCAGAAGCTTGATTCCAGTTATTCTCATTGGAGAAGGGACCCTTATCATGGTCATCTATATGAATTACCCAGAGGCCTCATTTGGTAGCCATGATCTGTTTCCATAGTTTTCAGACTCAAAAAGAAGAGTCTCATCTTCCAGTTTACAGCTTTCCAAATAGCAAACTAAGCAGGCAGGCCATTGGCAACAACCCAAGGGTCAGTAAAACGATAGCAGCTTTGTCCAGGGGAGTATTGGCCAGAGCCATAAGAATGGCCTTGATTTCTGTACACCGAGTAGAGTGACCATGTCCTTCAGAGCTCTCATTGAGGTCCAAAGCCACAGCAGCCCAGTGAAGACCACTGGCTTTCAGGTTAGTGAATGAGGCCCAGGCACATGGGGAGCCTCTGTGAACTGAATGGTCCTATTGAGCCAGTCCTATTCAGGTAGCAAAGATGCATCAAGTTTTCCCCCTAAGGATTGCTGCCCTTTTCATGTAAAACTGAGATGTAACTGGGGTCAAGCCGGCTGCCTTCTTGAATATACCATTACCATTTCACAAGTGAGGCTTGTTCCGTCCTTTCTATCTTGTTAATCATTGAGTCCAAGTTGGCTCACTTCAAAATGCTTATCGGTCTGGAAAGTTACAAGGCCTCCGTGGGTCAAGTGTTTTCGTTTCAACAAGAGCTCAGTAACTGGCTACTAGCTGCTTTTCAAAAGCTGTCTGCCTTCTTGGGGGGGGAAGCGGGGGGGGGGGGACATCGAGTCTTACAGCTCAAGGGGCGCCTTCTAGTGGAGGTTGCCTCTTTTTTCCAGAGGCTCTAAGTGACGAACTCATTAGTCATGGAGACTTGTAGCTCAAAGGGGCCATTAGAGTTGTGGGGCCTCAAAGTTACTAGCACTTCTCTACGTGTGGCTCTTCTTGATCCTAAGTGCCTCTGGATCTTCAGAACATTCCCAGTACAGGCACGTCAAGTATCAAGATCACTCACACATGTAGCAGTGGAAGCCACAGGAATACTCTATTGCTAGCTTTTCCTCTCCACATCGAGCAAACCCTGTCCAGGCCCTCCAGCTGCATCCAGATTGCTCCTCCCTGACAGACTGAGTAGGATGGTGACTTTGGCACCTGTCTTCAAAGAAGCCACAAAAGTTGGAGTCTCTGCCCCCTTGAAGTTCCACAACATACTTGGACAGCTGCATGTGGCCTTTGATCCCCCTTGGGGACAGGGAGACCTTAGCCCCACATCTAGTCGTCTTTCTTCTTAGAACTGTTGAGGTGTTAAGGTCCGGGGAGTGAGAGATTAAGGGCGTAGAGGGAAGAGAGAATGTCTGCATCAGTGAGTAAGAAACATATACTTGCAGTTTGGAGTGGTGCAGTGGTGGCAGGCAGCTCAAAGAAACACACCACCAATGTCAGGCCACACAAATGGAAAAAACACACAAACCCCAATGTTTTCAGTCCACACAAACTATACTGGGCAGCAAGGTTGTCATTATTGACACCATCTATTTCCGTTTTGAAGATCCTCTTGGTTCAACAGCCACAGCCCAATGTTGCTTTTCAGCCAGGACTGTGGGGTTTGCTTTTTTGGTTGACTTGGGTTTGTAGCAGAGGATTTCATACCAGGGGAGTCTACTTTCATCTAGGGCATTTGTAGCTCCCTTGTCAAGAGAGTATCTTTTAACAGAAACAGACACATAAAAAAAGGTGGTATGTTTTTAAATTCTCCTTCTGTTTCAACATAAGGGTTAGGGACATTTTCCAGGCCTATGGATCTGAAGACAGGAATTTATCTAGAACTATAGGGTCAGTGTCTTGGTCTCCAGGGATCAGCTTCATCATTGTAAATCCAATCCTGGGCATAAGAGCTGAATACTAGTCAATGAGTCAGTTTTGATTTCCCTTGTCTGTCTCAGAAAAATCTCTCTCTCTCTCTCTCTCTCTCTCTCTCTCTCTCTCTCTCTCTCTCTCTCTCTCTCTCTCGTGTGTGTGTGTGTGTGTGTGTGTGTGTGTGTGTGTGTGTGTGTGTGTTATAGTTTAAAAAATAATAAATGAGCATTATGGGTTCTGCCCCTTCACCTCCTGAGTGAATCAGCCAGTTTCTGCCCAGGGCTGGCATACATTTTTCTCCCATCACACTCAGTGTAGGTGCTCCTGTATTAAACTGTTCTCTGAAAGAGGTGCAGACTTCCCCTCCCGCCAGACCAGGGTGAATTGGAGTGCTAACTGTCCCAACGAGGGCTCACCACCAAATTGGTAACAGGCACCCTCTTGCCCATAGGAGTGTTAACAACAAGCAGGCAACTGACTGTCTTAGAATCCACCTCCCGGTAACTTGGCTGGCAGCTGCTTCCCCAATTCTTTCCCATGACCAGGCCGTGAAGTGGAGGATCCCTTACTGCCCAGGTAGGACACCAGAACACTCTGAAAGTGAGAACCTTGTAGAGAGCTGTCAAAAGTACACCGCATGGTTCAGATGGAATGTCAGGCATGAGTCACGGTCACATCTGCTCAGTGTAAACAGCATAATTTAAATTAAAAAAAATTATTAAATAGAATTAACAAAGATTCTGAGCCACACCTTGCTCCAACCAGGGTTGCCATTATTGTGCACATAACAGGTGGACACCCCAGGAAGATGAATCTTGTTTAATACTTGACTCCTCTTATGTGACAAATAAGACACATTCATTGAATTGATGTGGTAGAATTCTTTCTTTTTTTCTTAAGCAAAATGATAGGTGATGCATACCCTACTCTTGAAGACAGTGCTCACTTCAGCTTTTCTTGCCTCATGTCTAACAGAAGGGAGATGGGGTGATAGATAAAGAAGAACTTCTGGAAGCTTGTGAACAAACCAACTTGCACTTAGATGAGAAGCTCCTGGACCAGCTATTTGCCTACTGTGACGTGAATAATGATGGGCTGATTAGCTTCCTGGAATTTGCAAATTTTCTTAACTGGAAAGATAAAATGCCTCTGAAAGAGTATGAAGAGAGGGTTGTCATTAAAGGTAAGTTTGAAGCTTTGCCAAACTCTTAAATGGACTTTTATATTTCCATTTTTCTAGGAGTGCATCTCAACTTTAATATTGTGTATTTAAAAATATGCACATATATACATATTTATTTGCTTGTTTATACATATATATATGGATAGAAGGGTAGGAAAGAATTTGATAACATTTGCTATTTCCAGGGAGGGGAAACTGGGTAGCTGAGGGATAGGGTAGCAGTGAGACTCAGCTTTTAATCTTATGTTTTTGTATCTTTTGAACTTTATTACTCATTTCAGAGAAAAAAATTAAAAGCAAAAAAGAATTTATTCAGAAGCCTAAAATGTGATATGCAGTTTCTTAGAAAGCTGTTCAAAAATCATTTTTATAGCCGAAACTGGTTTGGCTCAGTGGATAGGGCGTCAGCCTGCAGACTGAAAGGTCCCAGGTTCGATTCTGATCAAGGGCACGTACCTAGGTTGCGGGCACATCCCCAGTAGGAGGTGTGCAAGAGGCATCTGATCGATGATTCTCTCATTGATGTTTCAAACTCTCTATCCCTCTCTCTTCCTCTCTGTAAAAAAATTAATAAAATATATTTTAAAAAAATCATTTTTATAGAGTAACTAGAGGCCCAATGCACAAAATTCATGCATGGGTAGTGTCCCTAGTGGCTACCAGCAACCAGCTGGGGCCTCCCTTCCCATGGTTGGCTGGCTGGCCCCACCCCCCTGGTCGAATTCCCAGTCAAACTCCCAGTTGAACTCTCAGTTGAGGGGACAATTTGTATATTAGGCTTTATTATATAGGATTAGCTCTCCTCCCCCAGGGAAAATGAATAGTAAGAAAATTTAACCTTTTAGTTTTTGTAAACAATAACAAAATATAAAACCATAATCTTCACTTTTATGCAAATATCTTCATGCTTACATATTATATACCTGCATCACTACTTATATATAGATATACATATATACATATTTGTATGTGTGTATGCATATATTTAAGTATAGCTAAAATCACAGTGAATGTAGCATTTTAATTTTATTATTTTTTAAAATTTAACTTTCAAATTACTGTGGAATGAAGAGATAATTTTATGGTTTCTGTAAACAGTTTCTTCATGCTGTTGTATTATGAATTACTAAACCATTTCCTTACTCTTTGAAATTTTGGTTGTTTCCAGATAGTTTTAAAGTAATATGGGTAACACTATAACGATTATTATCTCTCAAAAAGCTTTCTGTTTCTAATTATATCTCATTTCTTATGAATGCTATTATTACCCCAGAAGTAACTCTCTTTACATATTTTCGTTTCGCTTTTCTAAATGATTTTACCAATTTGCAACTTTACCAGCCAACGCTGTGAGACAATTTTACTCCAACTGTGTTACCATTGAGTGTTATTTCAAACATTCTTGTAATTTAGTTGGTATATACGGATGCATCATTTGCTTTAATTTTCAAATCTTGATTATTAGAGAGATAACTATTTTAAAAGATTGTTCACATTTTTATTTTCTCTCTTCTAAAAAGCAAAGATACTTCTGTTTCTATTTTTTTCTTAGTCCTCACCTGAAGATATTTTTGCATTAATTTTTAGAGAGGGGAAGGGAGGGAGAGAGGAGGAGAGACAGAGAGAGAAAGAGATACACATCGATTGGTTGCCTCCCGAATGTACCCTGACCTGGGCCAGGGATCGAGCCTGCAACCGAGGTACATGCCCTTGACAAAATCGAACCCATGACCCTTCAGTCCAAGAGCTGACAATCTAACCACTGAGAAAACCACCTAGGGCCTACTGCTTTTATTTTTATTCCTTGGTCATGCCTTTCTGCAAGGCCAAAACCAAATTTTGGGCTGTACTGCTGACATGAGCTCTTACCAGTTTCTGGGATGGTCTTTATAGTCTACCCACTCGGGAAGCAGACACATCTTCCCTACCTCATGAAGCTCTCAGAAGCATGGGTGTTGTTTTTCTTCTTGGCACAACTCATGGGTTGGAAGGAAGCAGAAGCCTATTTTCAAACCAGACAGTCTTTCATATCAGGGTTTGGGGCCTGACTTTGTCAGCCATTTTCAATGGAATGCTTGAGATTTTTATCTTTTAAGATAGTGCCCTATGGGTCAGAAAGGGCTCAGAAATTGTCTTACATCAAATCAATCCTACTGCTGACTTCTACAGGAAAGGTGGTGGTGATGGGTTAAGTACTTTAAGAGAATGGCTTTCAAACACTTTTCTGAGGAATAGATTTTCACACTTTGAGCAAATTTCTGCTTTTTTTGTGTGTTTGGGGAGGAGTAGGGGGTGGGGAGGGACTTAGAGGATCTGCCATGGGCCTGAATGCTTTCATGGCAACAATTGGTGGGTGCTTAAATGGGGGGTGCAGACTTTGCATAGACATGTTTTTTCCTGGTTTGTCACTGTTCCCGCTCCGCTGCTCTCATACTGGGACACCATTTGCCTTTGCCTTTGCAAACCTGGCTTGAGCTGTTTCAGAACTGAGTTCTTGCCGAGAGTGAAAGGCCACAGCGCCCTCTAGTGCTAGCTGTCAGTTACCAGCTCTGTTGGAAAGAATGTCAGGAATGTACTCCTAAATTTCATAATTGACTCAGCAAAGCAAATGGGCAAAACAGGTCAGAATCTTATAATCTCAGTTTTACCTCAGGGTTTTCTTTTATATGCATATTTGAAGAGAGTTATTTATATACTAGTAATCAGCTCCTGAGCTCACAGTGAGTTCACATCATTTCTCCAAATGTTTCAATACACAGGCTTCCCTTCCATGATCAGGTATGTGTGGAATTTACAACTCTAAATGTGTCTTTCGCTAGGAAAAACTGTAGTAATTCTGTGGTTCAAGTTCAATAGGAAAGTAATCTCTAATTTTTAAAAAGAGGAAAGAAAAAGAATAGGTTCTATGTTTTTTCATCTGTTCATATTTAAGAACTTTATTCTAGAGTCAAGGGAATGGAATGGTGAAAAGTAACATTAGACCAGGCCTCATTTTCTTGGGACCTGACATTGGCCTGTACTTGCTCTTCCACAGTGAGGTGCTGGTAGCTGTGGAGGGTTTACACCAGCCCAGTCTCAGTTTTCCACCAGCAAGAAGAAACTAAATGGAAAAAATGATTTTGTTGTGGAGTTGTAAGAACCAAGTAGTAACTTCTTCCTGTATATCCCCCCACCCCCTTTCTCTCTTTGCTTATAGGTGGAAAACCAGATTGTGCAAACCCTGCTGAGGCTATTTCTAGAGAATCAGAACCAACCCTCCTGATAAAGCCTGAAGACATTGTCTTAAATGACGACTCAGAAAAGACTCTCCGGACACTTCTGAGGCCAAAGGATAAAGTTGCCAGCCACTATAAGACCACTTCTTCTGCTATCAATGCGGTTGTAGGAGCTGTCCCTTCCATGTGTGAGTATGTCAAAGTGTTGGCTGAGATATAAAATGATCAGCAAACATGGAAGTGATGTGTTCTTCCTCTGCCCTGGCATCATCCCCAGGCTTGATTTCCATGAGGCTGTACATTTCTCAAAGCCTAGGGTCTTTGGCTTCATTCTATATCCAAGCAGCCAGGGCATCTTGGTAAGTGTAGGCTGATCTATTCTTAGTGGTGATCCGAGTAAAAGGATTCTCTCGATATTAATGAAATGGAAACCATCACCGATCAGAACACTGAATTGTATCCATTGTAGTAATCAGATGTCACTGAGCTTTAGGAGATTTCTAAACCACGTGACTCTTAAGCTACACATAGGTTTGCCTTCCAATAGTTGAAGAGCTCTTACAAAAGGTTTCTCACTATCTTCATTTTCCATCTATAAGTTTGCTAGTCCTTCCATAACAAGTACCACTGACTGGGTGACTTAAACAACATAAATTTACCATCTCACAGTTCTGGAGGTTGAAAGTCCGAGTTCACGGTGTCGGCAGGGGTGGTTCCTTCTGAGGGCTGTGAGGGAGAATCTGTTCCGGGCCTCTCCCCCAGCTTTCGGTGGCTTGTTGGCAATCTCTGGCACTACTTGGTTTCTGCTGCATCACCCCGATCTCGGCCTTCCACCTTCTCATGGCATTCTCCTGTGCGAGTTGCCAAATGTCCCCTTTTCTCTAAGGACCCCAGTCATAATAGATTAGGAGCCTACTCCAGTACAATCTCATCTTAACTTAATTGATTATATCTACAATGATCCTATTTCCAAATAAGGCCACATTCTAAGTACTGAAGGCTAGAACTTTAACATACAAATCTAAGGAAGATACAGTTTAACTCATAACACCCTATATCTCTATATACTGGCAATGTGTGATGTACATTGGCTATTTAGAAAGACTAATTTATGTTGGTCAAGATCACTACCTGGTACTAAGGACACGATTAAAGATATACATGTGTTTTTTTGTAACTGAATTTTATAGATTGTACATTGCTATACATTCTGGTATAATGAGGTCTTGCTACTCTTTAGAATAGTGCTGTCCAATAGAAATATCACTGGAGTCATATGTACTTAGAAATTTTTAGTAGCCACTTTAAGAAAAAGAAAACAAGCAACATTAATTTTAATAGTATATATATATATATATATATGTTATATATAATATTTCTAAAATATTATTATATTAACAAGTAATCAATATAAAGTGGTTAAATATCTCACATTTTTGGTATTTGATATTGACAAGATCTTTGATATTCAGTGTGTATTTTAACTTCTGCCTCATCTCAAGTCAGACTAGCCACATTTCAAGTGCTCAAAATAGCCACACATGACTTGGTGGTTAGTGTATTACGTAGCTCCATTTCAAAATGTGTGTTTTCTTCTCTCATCAATGTCCTAGGTTATCCCATCTATGGTGTTCCAACTATTCGGTCTGATATCCCTGTCCCCCGAATTCGCCGCATCGATGATAAAAAGAATTATGGTGAAGAAGGCAATGCCTATTCATTGCTATATCCTTCCATCTTTGGCCAGAAAGGACTGTTTGAAAGAGACTTCTTCCAAACCAGATCTAAAAAAGAGGTACAGCATACTATTTCAAAAGGGTGGAAAGAAATGTCAACCTTCCATAAATACATCAACATAGGAATGTATATTTAACAACAACTACTTAATATCAGACTTTATACAATCTGACCTTGTATATTAGTCATCAGAACTCATTAGGATCCATCCTGGATGGGTGAGAAAAGCAGGAGCAGCCAGAACTTCTGAGTTTCAAGTGTATTTGATTATACTGTTAATTTCCCACAAGGGCACATCATTTCCAAGGGATCTTTTAATTCTTGTTCAGATTCTGTTTAATTGATGTATTCTGCAGCTATTCTGTTTCTTTGGCTTTCCTATTCCTTGTTTAACCTTTCTTTCATTTCCCTCTTTGCTTCCCCCTCTCCCTCCCCACCCCCCTTCGCTTTAGAATAATTGTTTTTCCCCTCCCTTAAGTCTTTTATTCCCTCTCCTCATCCTAACATTTCTTTTCACTACCAGTTCATATCTTTCTTTTCTTATACTTTCTCTGGGACATGAACAACATATTTTTCATCTCCCTTTATTAATTACCACTTCAGAGAGATGATCAATAAGCAAAGTGTGCTTATGATGTGTAACTAGAGGCCTGGTGCATGGCCTGCCCCCTTTTGCAATCCAGGACCCTCATCCTGGTCCCTGCTGCCGCTGCTTGGTAGCACTGCCACGGAGGGAGGAGAGGCTCATGCTGCTGCAGCTGTGCTCATCAGCTGTGAGCCCAGCATCTGGCGCCCATTGGTCAGCTGAGCGGTGCTCCTGCTGTGGGAGGGCACTGACCACCAGGGGCAGCTCCTGCATTGAGTATCTGCATCCTGGCGGTCAGTGTGCATCATAGTGACCAGTTGAGCGCTGTTCGGTTGTTTAGACAGACAGACAGACAGACAGACACACACACACACACACACACACACACACACACACACTCACAAATTGCCTCCTGTCTCTCCACATACCTTTTTTTTTTTTTGATAAATATTCATAGTCTTTTTTTTAATGTGTTTTTTTTTTTAAATATATATATATATATATATTATTGATTTCTCACAGAGAGGAAGGGAGAGAGAGAGTCAGAAACATCAACGAAAGAAAAACATGGATCAGCTTCCTCTTGCACACCTCCCACTGGGGATGTGCCCGCAACCAAGGCACATGCTTTTGACTGGAATCAAACCCAGGACCCCTCAGTCTGCAGGCAGGCACTCCACCCACTGAGCCAAACTGGTTTCAGCTATATTCATAGTCTTATATGTTATAAACATATTATAAAAATACAAATTTATATAAATCTTGGCTTTACTTGTAATGTTTTCTTCTAGATTGCGGAGATATTATGTAAGATTGGTGTCAAACTTTCTGATGAAGAATTTGAAAATGTATGGAATCTTGCATCAAAAAAACATCACAGAGGAGAAGTCTGCATAGAGACCATTAGAAATGTTCTAGATGAGCTACGACATGCAGAACGAGCTAAGTGTAAAACAACCATGTGATATTTTGGGAGTTCATTTATTTAAATAAAGGAATTGTTAAGTCTATGTTGACCTGAAATGTTCAGTATGTTCTGGTTTTAGCTATTATATGATAATTCAGTAATCACTGTGTTAGGACTCATATGCCTGTATGTATTGCTAATAAATTAGATTTTGGATTTAAAAATTTATTGTTTTTATAAAACACCAAATAACTTGACAAGCAAGAGCCTGGAAAGTCACCAAAGGTGTACTTCAGAATGGTATTAGAAGTTTGTAATGTTCAATATGCTTAAGAAGTTTATTCTTTTTTAGTTGGTTGTCTGAAATTCAAACTCTGGTTTGTGATGTCAGGTTCACAAGATGTTGCTTCCACATTTTGTTAATCTTCTCTTTAGGTGTCTTTTTTTAATTTTTAAAAACTTTAAAAAATATATATTTTATTGATTTTGTACAGATAGGAAGGGAGAGAGATAGAGAGTTAGAAACATCAATGAGAGAGAGTCATCGATCAGCTGCCTTTTGCACACCCCCTACTGGGGATATGCCCGCAACCAAGGTACATGCCCTTGACCGGAATCGAACCTGGGACCCTTCAATCCCCAAGCCGACGCTCTATCCATTGAGCCAAACCAGTTTTGGCTAATTTTAAAAAACTTTTTATTAATTTCAGAGAAGAGGAAGGGAGAGAGAGAGTGAAATATCAATAATGAAGAGAACCATTGATTGGCTGCCTCCTGTATGCCCCCTACTGGGGATCTTGCCCACATGCAGGCATATGCCCCTGAACTCGGGACTCTTCGGTTTACAGGCCAAAGCTCTATCCACTGAGCCAGGCCTGCTAGCTTCAGCTCTGTTTTCTTTAATGCCATCCGTCCATCCATTCATCCATCCATCTACCCACCCACCTACCCACCAATCCACACATGCGCATTTTACTTGTAAACACTGCTGTGTATTTCCTGTAAACAAGGATATTCTGTTACCTACCATAGTACAGTTTTCAAAATCAGAAAATTACTATTGCTAAGGCATTATTATCTAATTTACAGATATTTTTTCAAGTTTATCCAATAATCCTCTATCATACTAACATCCTTTATAGCAAACACATCCATGCGTGCATGCATGCATGCATGCATCCATCCATTTATCCATCCTTGTGACTAACCACTTCTTACCTGAACTTTGGTTAAGTGAGTGGCCTTTGGGGAAGAATCCTGTTTTCTGAATGGAGCAGCCAAGAGACGTGCCTCCTAATTTACAACAGTAGGGGGCACCCTAGCATTTCCAAACCTAGCAATGAGGCTTAGTCCACAATGCAGCATAGCTGCAGCCTGCTCAAGTTACATTGGAGGGAGCAGACAATTTATCACTGCACTTTCTGAAACCCAGGGTGATCCAGGCAGTATTTCTTTTATTATCTAGTGGCACTAATTAGGCTGGAAAGGGACACTTTAAATAGTAACTTAGAGGGGGAATTTTGCTTGGATTACAAAGTATCATCTCCATGGAACAAGAAAAGCAAATGAGAAATATTAAAGTGAGATATGAATAAGTATCCAAATACGTCACCATGCTCTCACCTAAATCATATTTCTTTAGTGTTCAGGACAGTCTTGTTAATAGTGAAATATATGAATCACATAAAAACTTTAAAAAGCCACTATTTCCTAACCCAAGTTAATGCATTTAATACATTTTCTTTCTTTAAAAAAAATATTTTATTGATTTTTTACAGAGAGGAAGGAAGAGGGATAGAGAGCTAGAAACATCGATGAGAGAGAAATATCGACCAGCTGCCTTTTTCACACCCCCTACTGGGGATGTAGCCACAGCCAAGGTACATGCCCTTGATGGAATTGAACCCGGGACCCTTCAGTCCGCAGGCCGACACTCTGTCCACTGAGCTAAACCGGTTTCGGCCATTTAATACATTTTCTTCAGAGCATAGCTAACAAATTGAGAAACTTGTTGGAAATTTGTAGTCCAATAAAAGGTAATTTTATTTTATGTAAAAATCACTTATGAAAACTCGCCGAGGCTTGGTGTGAAGAGCGAGACTAGTTAGAGGTTAGCACCCCAATTATAAGCCAACAATGAGAATAGACATGAAGGGCATTTCTTCTGTTATGAAACTTTTATAATAATAACCTTGTAAAAAAATAATGGGGCCTATTTAAAGCTCATTTATTTCTCAACCAAGTGGCAATTTTTCATCACTCAAAATGTTAATACTTCCTCCTGAAACCCTGGAGATAATCCGATTCATGTGCGTTCATTAAAAAAAAAAAATCTGGTTAAAACAAGCAGGTGATTCTGTTTTAATAATATCTGTCCTGCCAGCAATAAGACAGTCTCAGGTGCAAATAAATGTATCAACAAACAGATTTTCTTTAAAGCACGTGGGGTCTCATATCAATTCCAAATTAGCCAATTAGCACGATGCTATTGGAAGAGCTAATTAAAAAGTGCATTTAGACTCAGAAATGTTTCCTGAGAGGAATCTGGAGCTTATAGTCCTTATTCCACCTGTAATTACTCTGCCTGATTTTCCTCTGTAGATAGACGTGAACTCACCATTACCTGGGCAGAGCAAGAGTCTTTTTCTCTCTCTGTTACAGTGAACTCATATTAGTACCTTGAACTGATACACGTATTTTTTTTTTTTTCACCCCAGCTGGCATGGTTGAGTGTTGACTTGTGAACAACGAGGTCATAGTTTGATTCCTGGTCAGGACACATGCCTAGGTTGTGGGCTTGAATCAATGATTCTCTCTTATCATTGATGTTTCTCTCTCTCTCCTCATTTCCTCTCTGAAATCAATAAAACTATATTTAAAAATATAAAAAGGCACTCCTCATCCCAACTCTCTAACCTTTCAGGGGGGTGGTTAACTAGCACAGACTTTAGATTAAAAACTAAGAATGTATTTGGGCAGGGCTCCAGCCTGTACCTTGTCCTGTTAGAAATATTTTCACAATTGAAATCCTTGGTAAGTCCATCAACTTTGGTATATAGTAAGTATATCTATTAGAAAAGTTGACTTCTTGAGATTTATAGGTTGAAGAATTATGCTGTGGGGTGCTTTGGGGAGACAGAATGACTAAGCAATTTATATTTGATAGCCATTAAACTAGTGCCTTTTCAATTTTAATGTGCATAGTGAGCACCAGTACCTCTTGTTAAAATGCAGGTTCATACTCAGCAGGTCAGGGCAGGGCCTGGCATTATGCATTTTTTAAGCTTCAAGGGGATGTTGCTGATGGTGGTTCACACTTGGAGTGACAAAGTTTCAAGGTTTCTGGTAATTCTGCAACTATACCTTCTGCAGATCTCCATCCTCCTGATGCCTATAGGACTTAAAAAACATTTTTTTAAAGTTGATGTTGAAGACCAACCCTAACTCTTCTACTTTAAAAAATATTTATTTATTGATTTCAGAGAGGAAGGGAGGAGAGGAAGATGAAACATCTATGATGAAAGAGAATCATTGAATCATTGATTGGCTTGAGGATCGAGCTGTGCCAGCTGGGTGCATGTTTGGCTTTTTGAGGTGGAAATAGCCCCTCAGGTCTTGGGTGTTTTGTTCTTTTTCTTTTCATTTAGTTTGGGACGTTTCTGTTGACCTACCTTAAAGCACACTGATTTTCCCCCCTCTGCCATGTCAAGTCGATGAGGCTATCAAAGGTGGGCCTCATCTCTGTTAAGGTGCTTTGGATCTCCCTCATTTCTTTTTGATTATTAGTTGCTGTTGTTGAGTTTTCATCTCTTCTGCATATATTACCTGTTCTTGCATGTTGTCTACTTTTCCCTTTAGTGTCTCTAACGTAGCAATAATAGATATTTTAAATTACCTGCCTGATTTTCTAACAGCTGTGTCATATCTGAATCTGGTTCTAATGCTCCCTTTGTGTTTTTGGAGTGTGTTTTCTCTTACCTTGGCATGCACTGCAAATTTTTGTTGAAAGCTAGTCATGTTGTGCTGCATCATAGAGGAAATGAAGTAAATGGGCTTTTGTGAAGATTTATGTGAATACTAGTGTTCTGGTGCATGGATTTGTGCACATTGAAAGGAAATTAATTAGAAGAAAGATTCCTTCAGTAATTACATTAATGCAAAAAATTACATGTCAAAATAGTAATAATTTTATATATTATAAAATTAAAGCACACGTGTGATTAGCTCCAGCAAGAACTTTATATGTAACGTACGTGTGCAAGTCAACGTTTATTTTTAAATTGCCAGTGCACATCATAGGTACCAGTTGGACTGTCAGATGTATGTACAGCCAGTCACTTAGCCTTTTATATATATAGATGGCTACGTGTTCCTACCAGTTTATAGTGCCAGCAGCTTTGGCTCCAGGGAAGCAGATCTTGTCTATGACTTTCTAACTTTGTCTGCCTCTCCAGATTTTGGAGTGGCAGTTTTCCCTGCAACCACAGATCTTTGATGGACCCAGGAAAAGCAGCTACTTTTCTGATTGCTCAGCTTTCTCGTGTTGTAAAGATGGGTGGCTTCACTTCTAAGCTCTCTACATATTGGAGAGAAACCAGAAGTGTTGTCGTCACTATTTGCTTGTACCTTTCCAGCTTGGTGGTGAGAAAGACAGAGGAAACCAAAAGCAATATATTTTATAATTTAGGAATTTTAGTAAACGAGGATGAAGTTAATGATTAACATGAGTTTGAGAGTTTAATTTGTATATTAACTCTTTAAAAATATATTTTTATTGATTTCAGAGACAAAGGGAGAAGGAGAGAGAGATAGAGACATCAATGATAGAGAGAATCATCAATTGGCTACCTCCTGCATCCCTCCTGTTAGAGATTGGGCCTGCAACTCCGGCATGTGCTCTTGACTAGAATCCAACCCAGGACCCTTCAGTCCGCAAGCCAATGCTCTATCCACTGAGCCAAACCGACTAGGGCTGTATGTTAACTCTTTATTTCATAATTATAGAGATGGCTAATGGTGCATAGCTATACGATCTTGTGGTCACTTCTGCAAGTGTCA